ACGTCACATGTCGCATTGGAAAGGCAGCGGCAGTGTTCCGGCGGCTACAGCCAGTCTGGGCGTCTGGGTCCATCAGGCTACAAACAAAAATCCGCCTATTCAACACGATCGTCATTCCAACCGCCATATACGGGAGCGAGACATGGAGGTCGACAGCGGCCATCACACAGCGCCTCAATGCGTTCCAACAACGATGCCTCAGGCGCATCCTTCACATTTCCTACCTCGACCACATCACGAATGAAGCGATCCACCACCAAACGGGAACACGCCAACTCGCTGAGGTCGTTGCAGAGCGACGGTTTCGGTTTGGGGGCCATGTGCTACGAATGGCTCAAACACGCATACCAAAAGTGGCCATGCTGTGGACCCCAGGACGCGGAAAACGGAAACAAGGACGGCCAAAAATCACATGGCGCAGAACTTTTATCGAAGACCTACGTGCCGTGAACCTGTCATGGGATGAAGCCGAGGCCGTCGCGGCCGACAGAGCTTGCTGGCGATTACTTTGCGCCCAATGCGCCAGTAGGCACCGGAGGAACTAAGTCTAAGTAAGTCTAATAGGGACCAATCCTTTATGGCAAAAGCCTTTCTAAATTTGTAAAGTGGCCAGTTGCACCCAAAGTCAGAGAAACACATTTTAAAGTAATCAATAATGTTACCCAGTTGCTGATTTTCTAGAGAAAAGGTTCAAATATGAAAGTATGCAGTGTGCCTTTTGTGACTCAGCCTGCGAGATTTTGCATCATCTCTTTTTTTTGTTGTCCAATATCATCTAATTTCTGGTTGCAAATATATAATTGGATTTCACTAAAAATTAATAATATTCCAAGATTTGAAGTTGATCATATTATTTTCTACATGGATAATCTGCCTCCCTTTATATCGGATATGATCAACTTAGTGATTCTCCTTGGGAAATACCATATTCACTGTAGCAAGTGGAAAAACCTATTACCCTCCTTTGCCAGATTTGTAAATTACTTTAAACAATATTTTTCCTCGCTTAAGCGTCTAAAATCAGGTCGATTTGCTACAATTTATGACAAAATCTCATCTCTCCTGGTCTGTTAGGCTCTTATCTTCTGTGCTCCAGGACCATTTTTATTTGCAGGAGTATTATTAGGATGTTATGTTTGCATTAACCCCCGTCTTTATTTTTGTTGTGTTCCTTTTGTTTTCACGTATATATTTTATGTTGTACATACATGCTGTCATGTTATTTATTAAGATGTTGTTTTTGGCCGTTGTATTGACGTGACTGTAATCCTCAACGAGAATGTGTATCTTGTTCAATTATAAATGAAGAATTTAAGAAAGAAAAAAAAGAAATTGAAACTTCCATTGTTTTGCTTGGCTGTGTCAGGTTGGAGGGAATTAAGGTTATTTAAGCGGTTCAGAGTTTAAAAAGTGGTAGATATGATGTTTCACAAGGTGCTGCTAGAGTTATGTGAAATCTTACTTCTGATTTTACTATATAAAACATAATAATAATAAACTTCTCCTTCATGTTTGCTCGGAGATGTACGGAGCATCCTGCCTGCTCATTGGTCAGTGAATGAAACCGCCGTTGATTGGTCCTCGTCCGAGCGACGGCGATGAAAAGTTGAACTTTCTGGGATCGCGTCACTGGGTCGCCTGTGCACGACACGTGCACGAGCACAAAAATTCACACGTTTTTCGCGTTTCGCTTATCGCGCATGTCTCATTGAAAATGAATGGAGGAGAGTATGGAACTAGGATTGGGACAATATTCAGCGTAACTTGTACAATATTCAGCATAACTTGTACCAAGTTTTGTAACTTCGAACATGTTTCATCACATGTAACTTTGGATTCGTAACTTGTAATTCTCAATTCGTACTTGTATTCTTGTTTTGTAACAGGAACATTGTATTTTGTACATGTATTTTTTATTTTGTAAAATCAAACATTCATTCAGAAACATGAAACTTTTGTTTTGTAACTAGCAGACTTCCAAATTGAAAAAAAAATCAAGGTACAAGTTTGAAATCAAAACTCTCAAAACACACATTTCAGTCTACAGGTACAAACCAATTCCTACAGTGTTACAGATTTTTTTGTCTTGATTCTAGCGTCAGTGGGAGGAACTTGGGTGGAACCAATGAGAGCACGAGTCTTAGCTACCAATCACGTTTCTCGAATTCCTGTCCAATCATTGGGAGAGGAGGGCAGGGCTTTGTCAGAGCTGTAGCGAGTTACGACACTCCAATAGACTCCTATGCTCCTTTGGAATGGGGAAGTCACGTGGTTCATGTAGTTTCGAATAGTTCCAAACAGCCCCGCTGCTGCATTGACTGCAGTTCATTTTCGGTGTTTCGGAAGGATTTTCTCCAGTAAGTTGATGAAATGTCATCATTTTGTTGCATTGTGAAGCGTTAGCTAATCGCTTCATTGTCTCCTCACAGAACAAGGCTATCCCAGCATGCTTTGCGCGCCGGCTGTGGATTTTCAACAGGCAGAGAAAATGGGGAGAGCTACGAAGATTTAAACGTAAGTTTGTTAAAAACTAGCCGTAGAAATCTAAAAAGCTTAAAGCGGTTCAGTTTATAGACATTTTTCGTTTGTATATTTGTTCTTTAAATGACATTTTAGGCAGAAATCAGCCAGAACGAGTTTGTATCGCGGGTCCCAGTTATTCCTCTGTGTGTGTGTGTGTGTGTGTGTGTGTGTGTGTGTGTGTGTGTGTGTGTGTGTGTGTGTGTGTGTGTGTGTGTGGCGAATTAAACTTGTCATTTGTTTTAAGGACAACGGAGCAAAGAAGCGTTTTTATTAAGCTTAGAGTTGAAGAGTGAAGCTGTTTACACACGACCACAGACGTTCTTCTGTGAAAAGTAGTTTTACATTCAGGGATTTACACAGCTGGCATGTTTTAATGAAGTAAAAAGTTTGTGTGAAGAATATAATTTTTATCTTCTCATGTGGATAAATGTAAAAATGTGTTTATTGCCTTTTTGTCACCTGTGGTCTCTGATTTTCTCTGTAGGACTGCAGGTGTCCAGGGTCAGGAGAGTCTTTACCTGGTTGTCATCCTGGGAGAGAGGCCTTCTACTGTCATCCTGTTAATGTTATTTAGCTGTTTGATATTTGAACATGTTTATTAAAACAAAAACTAACTGGTAACTCTTTCTGGTCATTGATTTTATCACCAATTTTATTATTACAGATGTTTTTGAACATGTTACATGAACAGAAAATGAAAAGATGGTAAGGAGACAAGATTATTTATGATACGTTACACTTATTTACAGATCAAAACCAGTATGGACCAGTTTTGTACGGTTAAAGCAGGATTAACCTGAGTGACTCTTCCTGGATCATTTATTTAAACTGAGTGAGCAGGAAATCTTTAACAGTGCAGCTGGACCTGCTGCAGGAGGATCCAGACGTGGATGGAGGGCTGGAGCAGACCCGTGGCTTGACGTTTCTGGTCAGAGGAACATCATACAGGACGGTCTGCAGAGAGCTTTGGGACGCTTCCTCTCACTGTCCACTCCATCGTCCATCTACAGGGACTGCTGGGCTGGCTCAGACGACGGCTGTTACATCTCTGTGAATGACTTGCCTGTTAACAGTAGTGGTGGTCTGCTGGTACCTCCTGCAGGACAGAGCACCACTGACCACCTCCACACACATCTTCCTCACGCTCATTCTGCAGACCCACAACTTCACCAGCACAGAGGCAGATGTGCAGCACAGTGTATGCTGACCTGTAATAGGTTAAATAAGAATTTGTTTTTTATAGAAAAATGTAAAACAAAACATAACCTGCAGTACACTGATTCTGTTCAGTATAAAGAAAAGCAGCAGGGAAAACTACAGAGAATTTACATTTTTAAGACAGATCTAATTACTAGGCTTAAGTTGAATAAACAAAAGCACATTGAAAACAGTTCATTTTATTAAAAAGCCTGTTTTTTAAAACGTTTTACCCTCATTTGATGCAAAATAAGTTCTACGGTCCAATTTACATTAGAAAATATCCTACTGCATTCAACATTTATAATGCATTTGGTTTATATTAATTACCTACATGTTAATACTCTGTAGTAATGTGTTGTGTACGTTTAACAAGTTCATTCTGTAGCTTAAAACATACATGAAACCATCTAAAGGTAACACGTAAGTCCTGAAAGCTTCTAGAATAAACAAAGTTACTTTATCTGAAAACGGTTGTGAACAAACGCTGCTGATGGACGTGAAGCTGCTCTAGCTCCTTAATATTCCTGCTCCATTTTCGCTAGCTTTAGCATTTTTCCTTTGCGTGTAGCTGCCGCCACGGCTGTGACGGGACCTACGGGTCACCGTAGAGGTGAAGGCTAGACTGTCCGAATTCAGAGCCGCTGGGTTCCGGTTTTAGCGGTCTTAAAGGACCTGGCCTTGTTAGACCGGCGAGGACCCGTACTCATAAGCACCCTTCCTGTGGATTCGGACATTCGGAGTGTCGTCTGATTGGACAGGAATTCGAGAAACGTGATTGGTAGCCAAGACTCGTGCTCTCATTGGTTCCACCCAAGTTCCTCCCACTGACGCTAGAATCAAGACAAAAAAATCTGTAACACTGTAGGAATTGGTTTGTACCTGTAGAATGAAATGTGTGTTTTGAGAGTTTTGATTTCAAACTTGTACCTTGATTTTTTTCAATTTGGAAGTCTGCTAGTTACAAAACAAAAGTTTCATGTTTCTGAATGAATGTTTGATTTTACAAAATAAAAAATGCATGTACAAAATACAATGTTCCTGTTACAAAACAAGAATACAAATACGAATTGAGAATTACAAGTTACGAATCCAAAGTTACGAATCCAAAGTTACATGTGATGAAACATGTTCGAAGTTACAAAACTTGGTACAAGTTATGCTGAATATTGTACAAGTTACGCTGAATATTGTCCCAATCCTAGTTCCATAGAAGAGGCGATGTCGCCTCCCGTGTGTCGAGCCCAGTCAGCAGAAAACACATTTCACTCGTGCAGGTCGGTGTGTGATTGTGCGCGCGCGCGCGCGCTGAAGGACCGGTTGCCCTAGCTTAGATAGTTGTAGGTATTTGCCCTCAGAAGTCCTCCTCTCCGCTCAACTTCACCTCTGTATCTGGACCGTCCGTGTCTGTGTCACGATGGGCTGTCATAAAACCCACATCAGCATCGCTTACGCCTCGTTCGGGACGCTGGTGGGCTTCTCCGTCTTCCTGGTGTGGGACATCGTGTACGTCCAACCGTGGACCGGAGTCATGGGGGGGCTGTCAGGTAAACACACCGTTTGCACAAATGCCCCGTTGGTAGCAGCTGGGCAGATGTTGGCAACTTCTGCCCAGCTGCTACCTGTTTTAGCTGCTGTTATCAAAGAGTTGTTGTTGTGAAAATGTTGATAACCGATAAAATAAATCTTAAATTTACACAGCGGTCAGACTGCAAGTAAACGGTTTAACTAATAATTTAATCTCGGGTCCTGTTGGTAAATAAACAGTTACACATGTTGCCAATCGCTTTCCTTTTTAATAGCATTGTAGCAAAGACATTGTTGTTTATACAAATCACATTTTACTTAAAAAGTATTTTAAAAACCATTTTTTATTTTAAAAAATAATATAGTATTTACTCATTTTTCATTCCGTTGCTGACAGACAAATAAAGTCACAGGTTAGGTTAATGAAACAAGTGGGACAAGGAGAGCAAAAACAGAATTTATATGAAGCGATTTGATTTGTCAAAATTAAATTAATGATTGAAGTTGTAGCCCGTTATGTGTTTGTAATGGAAGTTAAACAATCCAAGGCCAAGTTTATTATTGCATCTATAAATGTGAACCTTTGAGACTGCCGAGGTTTGCATGTTCACGTCCATAACTTCTGTCCTCGTCTCCTCACAGGATGTCCTGCAATAATCATGATTTCAAACAGGACAAAGCAGTGAGTGGTCATGATACACTAACAGCAGTATTGACCCTTGAAATTTAATAACTTTAATTATAGATTAACCAACATCTGCTGTAACCCATGCAGTTACACGCTAGTGGGCTGATCTTCACAAAACAAATCTTAGATTAGTTCCTCTTTGTAGAGTTGGAAGAAAGTGAAGTGAAATTCATCAACTCAGAGGTTTCACAGCTTGCTTTGTCAGCTTCTGAAAATGCTTATTCACGGTTCACTAGGCTCCAAAGTTACTGTGCATTATTTTCCAAATGTTGCTGAAGTCACTGATTTCATTGTAACTTGATAATTGTTTGAAATCTTTATTTAGTGTCCCCTGAGTGACAGCAGTCTAACTCACATCAATAGCCACTACTGATTTACGCAGAAAAGCCTTTTCAGTGTTTTCCAGTAGTTTTAAATTTAGAAAAAATACAGAAAGACAAATATTCAGATCCATTCAGACCAGAACCTCTCACCACAAAAACAGTTTCTTCCCCTCTGCAGATGGACTTTTGAATGAAAATCCTAGGGCAGCCCACTCAAGTTTATTGGTCCCAGTCACGTGACCCGATGCAGTGCGTGCTTGAAACATTCAGCAAACACTCAGATTAGTACCTACACGGGGTAGATAGCTGCTTCTCTAATTCCTGCCACGTTTTACATTAATAATTTTATCATGAGTGTTTTATTAGTTCTTATATTGCTTATCTCTTAATTATTATTTTTTTCTTTCTTACCTTCTGCACCAAAATACAGCAGCAATTTCCTAATGTTGTGACTTGGCACACAGATGGCAATAAAAACGTCTGATTCTGATATAAAGCTCAGATATTAGATTTTGAATTAAAATTGCCAGATGCATATCATTTAGGTAATCCCAGCCCCCCAGGGGCATAGAAGATGCACGAATGAGTCCCAGAAGTTCTTTACATCAGATCCTGCAGCCTCTCTTTTAAATGCACAGAAACATTATGATGTATTGAGCAAATGAAAAGAAGATTTCTCATTCTACTGGAAGCAGGAATAATTTCTTCTCTCCCTCTCAGGTGTGTTGGCCCTTTGGACCCTGATCACCCACATCATGTACCGGCAGGACTACTGGCGGACCTGGCTGAAGGGCCTCAAGTTCTTCTTCTGCATTGGTGTTTTGTCCTCACTGCTGTCAGCTGTGGCCTTCATCTCCTTCCTGTGTGTCGCCATCAGCAGAAAGGAGTGTAAGCTGTTCCACATCAGTGCAGTCTTCTCATCTACACTCAGAACGAATTATTGAGCTCAGGAAACCCCCCAAAGAATCCTGAGGCTCTACCTCAGATGGAGTCCAAATGAAAGTTTGCTGGGCTTGAGTTTGAAGGACAATTTAAGCTGCAATGGTAAATGTGTGTGTGTGTGTTATAATTTAGAATTAACTGGGTGCTTGTGCTTATCAGTGATCATGCAGCAATGTTAACATTTCCTTCTGAGGTGTGAATTTTTACCTGCCTGGTTAAAGTAATATTTTTTTTAATCAAAAACTGATATAAAGGTGTTAAAATGCAATTTGTAATTCATGGTTTAAATCTTGGAGAAGCAGTAGAAGAATATATTTAACTGAAGGATTTAATTTAATCCATAAAACCAGTTTTTGGGATGAAGAGATTCTGCTTATTTCAAAGTAAATCATAAAACTCAGTAACAAGTAACTTTAGAAAGACTTAAGACTAGAAAACGATAGTAATTGTTTAGTTTGTTTATTTTAGTGCAGCAGTAGCTCAGGAGGTAGAGCAGGTTGTCCAGTAATTGGAAGGTTGTAAGTTTGATCCCGGTTCCTGCCAGAGAATTCTGCTGTTGTGTCCTTGGGCAAGACTCTTAACCTGCCTTGCCTGCTGGTGGTGGTCAGAGGGACTGGGGAAGCCAGTGCTCGGCAGCCTCGCCTCTGTCAGTGCGCCCCAGGGCAGCTGTGGCTACACTGTAGCTCATCATCACCAGTGTGTGAATGTGTGTGTGACTGGGTGAAGGATTGATTGTGTTGTGAAGTGCCTTGGGGGGTTGTAAGGTGGCGCTATACAAATGCAGGCCATTTCATTTATCATACTTTATTATTTGAACTTTTTAAGTCATTTTAAAACCATGTATTATGATGTAAAATCCTATTAAATAATTTAAACCTATTCAATAAGGTTGTTTATAGAAATAACAAACGCCTATAAAATCAGTCCATATTATATTACTGATGTAATATTGATGCATTCTATAAAACTACAGAAAGAGAAATGAGTAGAAATGTTGTCCAGAAGCTAAGTTTTTATTTTTCTGGATGTGTTTATGTGTTTTTAATAAACTGTTTGTGTTGTAGCTCTGCGCAACCCTCAGAGTCTCTACCTGTCCTGCGTGTGGAGCATCATGAGCCTGAAGTGGGCCCTCCTGCTCAGCCTGGCGGCCAACCGCTATCATAAAGAGTTCACCAGCGTCAGTATCATCAGTGACTTTTGAAAGCATCTTCTCAGAGACGCGCACCCCACACACACACACACGTATTCAAATGCACATTATTCCTCGTGACAAACAAGTGTCATGTTTGTTTTTAACTTTCCATTTCAAGGGCGGAGCCTAGGAGGCCTGCTGAAATCTGATTGGATCTTGAACTTTGCTGTGAAGAGTAAAAGTTTAAAACCCCTTTTCACAGCTTTAGTGGTGGTGGTTTATATCTTGTGAAAAATAAACATCAGTCCAACTTGGAAGTTAATAAAGATTATTTATGTGTGAAAATATTTTATTTTTTAAAAAGCATAAATGTTGTTGTGTAAATGAACTCACTGAACCATGTTAGGATTTTTAAACTCCTGAACCACTCTGAGACTTTTCCCTTTTGTCACCCTTTTGTGGCATTCACGAGTTACAGTTCCATGCTGCTGCCACTAGAGGTCACTACTCATTCATCTATAAATGCATCACGTGGCATGTTAGCCCCCCTGTATATGTACAGTCTATGTGAATGACATGTTGCACTTGTACTGATCAGCTGAAGAGTCCTGCAGTGGATGCAGGACTTTAGACCCTGATGACTGAGCAAATGTTGAGCCGCACACTCAGAAACTAGAAGGCTTTATTTGTGCAATCCAGATCAACATTCCTCTTCATTTGTGAACTACCAGTGGGCTTTTTTATGAGGAAAAATAAAGACTTTTCTCACATTTTTTTCTGTAAAAGCTAACTTTGTGCTTTAATTGAACAGTAAAACCACACAAAGTTTTCATGTTTTTGTTTTTATCAGACTCATCTTCCTGTCTGAACTTACTACTGTGTTAAAAAGAAGTTCTTTGATGAGTGTGTACCCGCCTTTATCGCTGGACTGAATGTAGTTGTGCGTGTTTATATGAGAAATGTTAATGAATTACATTTTTGACACCTGCTGGACCTTCTTCTTCAGAATGAAGGAAAATATGTAAGTGGGTGATAAAACTTAGTCTTAAAGAGTTTCCTGGCAGTTTCTGTTCTTATGAAACATTTGGTGTCTTTTTTTTGGAAAAAATAACAAATATGGACTTTTAAAATCTACATTTTCATCAGTAAGGGTGGCTAAAGCAGATTCTTCCCCTTCCTGAGCCAAATCAGGAGGTTCCAGGCATTTAGAAGCAGGATTTGCATCTTCAGAGAAACAGACCATAAAAAATACCCCCCCCCCCCCCCACACACACACACACAGCATTGTTAACAGTAAATGCAGACCAATAACCTGCACTTTGAAGTCCAATAATCATTTAATCCATTCACATTTTTATTTTGTCCCTGAGAGGAAAGTCGGGGGCAGCTCTGCAGCGTATTGTGGTGCCTGATTGAAGGACTTTGAAGTTAATGTGAAAAATGTGTGACAGAATTATAAAAACTCAGTGATTTTGTGTTTTAAACTTCCTAAGTTACTTGTTTATAGAACAACTTCAAACTTACACTGAAACTGATATTTGAAATCTAAATTATTTATTGCATTCTTGCATATTTCATACAGATTATTTCTTTAACTTTTTTTGTGGTACGCAGACTTTAATGGCATTAAGCTGGTTTGTTGCAAGCCCCAAGAGTCTCATTGCATCCAGGTAATTGGGATGTTGTGGTTAAATCACCATGGTGACGCAGTTTCTAATCCGGCTGTTATAAACTTCAACATTAAGACGCTGAAAAACAATCTGCCCCTCTTTCCACTGAGCAAGCTGCAGGCTTTGGAACCAAATGAGTCCTATTAAGTTTATACACCAGCCTTTAAAATGTGTGTGTGTGTGCGTGTGTGGTATGAAAAAAGAGGGAGGACGTTATTTAATTACAGGACTCCTTTCTATCCAAATCAAGGAAGGAAGTTGTCTTGACTGGCAGTCTGGCTGAGTGTGGTGAGACTACAAACAATAGTTTACACACTTTGTGGGAAAAAAACAAAAAATTCCCAAACATCTTGTGCAGTTACATAGAAGCAACGCCACAAGAATCAAACTCTACGGGAAAATACATCTACAGGGAAAGTGAATCTGCTGAGCTGTAAACCTTTTATGTTGTTTATTTGTTGTTTATTTTTACACGTTTTTGCACGTTATTTGATAGCGTTAGCTTCCAGGTTCACTAATAAACTGATATTTAAACATTGTTTGTGTTTAACCCAAAAACGCAACTACATTTTTCTGTATTGCAAGTTTTGCTTTCATGAATTCTTCTTTTAAAACATTTGATTTTCCTCAAGTTGTTTTGTCATCGCTGAAGTTTCATGTTGCAGTATGGATATTTATGGCTCATTTAGTTGCACCTGGAGCTAATAAAAGCACCTCTAGTAAAGTTCTGCAGTAGGAACCCCTTATTTTCCTCCATCTTTCTGGTTTATTTTTGTCATGTGGTTCTCTGTGTTGTAGCTGGACACCTGCTGTCGTTTTAAATATGGGTGCACACATTTTTATACTAGCAGTTATTTGCTAATAAAAATGTATTCTACTCATTAAAAACACAATAATAAATATGGTTTATGAGCCACTTTGGAGTTTTAATTAGCCTGACTGGTTTATTACACACCATTTAAGGCAAAATGCATGAAAAGATGTCAGGATCTTATTAGCTATGTTATTATAAAGGGTTTATAATTTTATTATATGACTTCATGACAACAAAACAATAACAAAAATGCAAATGTAGCTTTTTCCACCTGCAGTTCTTAAATCCTCCACCAGATGGCATAGATTATATACAGCAGGGCTTTGGTGAACGGACTAATCCTGTCCTGGAGGTAGAGCTCATAGAAAATCAAGTGTTCAAAGAGACATTTGGCACCAAAGTGTACTGAGAGAACTCCAGTAACTGTTAAAAAATCGCATTAAACTCAAAAAGTATTCCTAAAAGTATTTAAGGATAGTACTCCTGTGTGTGATGGAGGAAAATACTTTGGCTGAGAAAAAGATGATGTGCTGTGATTCATTCAAAGATGGCTTTTCCACTGCATTTTTTTCACATTATCGATGATACAAAAGTAAAGCATTTGATCTAAAAAAAGAAGCTCAGAGAGGAGGAGGAGAGGGAAAAGTTAAATGAGAAGCAAACATCTTGAATTGGTCGAGAACCAGATGGCCTCTTCTGACATTAAGAAGTTGCTTTGGCATTTTAAAGAAGGCAGCCTTAGGATGATTTCAGAGGAACTTCCGCAAAGCGCGGAACAAGGCCCAGAGATATTTAAGCAATATTCATAGCAGTTTACTGTTTTATTTACAAACTGAAACATGTGTTTGTAGCTCCTCAGTGCCCCCCACACACACCCACTGCCTCCCACATTCACTAACTTTCTCACCAATTTACTATACCAGGATTTCCCTTATCCTCTTTGCATGTTTCAATCCTTACATTCTCTTTATCTGTCATCATGATCTCCATCCATCCCGCACCTATCAGTCAAGCCTCCTCCATCATTCACACACCCCTCCCACACACACAAACACACACCTGACAGCAGGCTAGATGCCCGAGCTTTAATGTACACCCAGCTTTTGTTTCTTTCCCTTTTCTCCACTCTCTCGTGTTTCTTTGTGCGATGCTTTCGGAGCCTCTGGGACCACTGCTCGCTCGCATCTGAAACATTTTAGAGAGACACATATTTGCTGTTTTAGAGCACAAAGGGATATGCCATGGCAGAGGGCCGTTTGAAGTGGCTTCACAGGGGGAACCAGAACCAGAACGATGGATTTTAGAAGCCAGGCAGAAATGTTAAGGCAATGTAACTTTGCTAAGGCCATCTAATCTAATGGAGGCAGATACTGATTCAATGTGAAGGCAGAACCTCTTTGAAGTTGGTTCTGTTGATGTTTCTCATGCAACAGCTCTGTTGGAGAGAAGCAACTTTCTTCTCTACCTCTCGGGCAGCGTTTTGCTGTAAATGCTCAACAGAGCTGGATGCGTGATGGTGTCTAATCCTGCAGATCCCAGGTCAACGGGACTTCCAGAAACACAAAGGGATCAATTAGAGATAGTAGTGGTTGACCGTGTGACAGACTTGTTATATTAAAAGACTGTTTTGGTCATTTAGGGGCATGTCTCTGTGTAAAAGTGATTATAACTGACACGGCCTCTGTTTGAAGAAACCGAGATTAAGTTTGACAATTGATAGGCTAACGGCTAGTATAATGCTGTCATCTTTAAATGGCTCTAATCTAAATTTCATGACATTACTTGCAGCGTTGTTTAGTTAACCTTTACACCAGCGTTGTTCAAACGTCAACAGACAAGGTCTAAATCGAGACGCTAATAATCCTTGTGGTCCAAGGAAATGTAATTGTTATTTAAAAAAATGCAACAAAAAAAACAACAACAACAACATATCATTTAATGTAGATTTTTTTCATGTGTAAGTCTCTAAATAGGTCAGAGTTTGGCTTATTAGCAATAATCTGAATATAAAAATGTTAAAAAGATGAGGAGCTACATCAACAACCTACTGGAGAGACAAAATTCACCATTCCAGAAATGCAACAGGGTTCTGCACAAAATCACTCCACGGGCCACAAATGTCCCCTGAGCCATTTTTTGGATATGCCCCATTTAAGCCTTTTTACACCGAATGCTGAACAGATGCGATCCGGTTTCTGCATAAGTCAAAAAATACTGAGTACAATCAGAGTATTCACACTGGTTGCAATGCGTTGTGGATCTGGTAGCAGAGCTCTGGAAAGTTTCCGCATGGATTCTATTTTTTCTGGACGCTGCCTGCAAAAATATGCAGTTTTTTTTTTTTGCAGAAAAGATGTAATTCTGACCAGGTTTTTCACTAATTTCTGCTGTAAAAATAATCATTTACGGCAGCAGATTGATTCATTAACTAATGATAGCTTAAACCACTATAACATAGTTGAGATTTGAGGTTTTTATTTTCAAGGAAGCAACACATTTTCCCTTTTGTGACTAGCTGTTAGCTCATCAATCCCATCAGAACCAAACTGTTGTCTAAACGGAAGTTATTCATATCTAAATGACTCAGGTGATTACTGTTCATGTGAATGTCACAAAACACATCAGAAGATCTGACCAACGATCTCCAGACTAATTTATCGGTCCTGTTGGATCAGAACGCTATTTCTCCAAACTCCAAATTCAGGAATCTTTCAACAGGTAAGATTTTTGAATGAAATGTGTCGGAAATATCCATTCAAGTCTTGATTGGTTCTTGATTGTCTTGCCCGAGGATACAACGACAGCGACAAGCTGAGCGGGGCTCGAACCTGCAACCTTCTGATTACGGGGGAAGCACTTTACTCCTGTGCCACCATCACCCCAGTTCCAGGAAGCAGCCAGGTCATTGGCTCAAATAATTTTATTTCAAAATGATGTCAAGAGCAGGAGGAACTGTGACTGAGCAGGGTTTAAATAAGGCCCAGTCCCAATATTCGTACTTCCACCTGTGCGTTTCCGTCCAGGTAAGGTGTCCCGATTCCCAAGTGCAGAAGTTGGCCACGCCCCTTTTGCACCTTTGATCTGCACTTTGCCCAAGTTTGCACTGATGTGAAAAAAAAAGTATTTTCAAGTATAATCGTTGAAATATTGAGCATTTTATTATTGTGTGCAAATAAAGATGATTGTTCCTCTTCCGGTCAGGAAAAAAAAAACATTTTGATGTTCATGGAAAATCAAATTTTCAATATAGAATCAAATTTTCATAGTTTCCTCTTTTAACCAAAATGAAAGAAGTTCATTTTAAGACGATTAATGATATTTATCCATGCTCTGAATGTTTTAGAC